CAATGCAATATGGAAATGAAGGAAACGGGTCACTACGAAAGTACGAACAATGTCACAAATATAGATATATTATATTATAGTGCATACTTATAATATATATATATACATATATTATTTTGAATTGTTATGTACATGTTCACGTTCACGTTCACGTTCGTATACCATGTCAAAGTAAAAGCTCTTTATTTTTTTAAAAAAAGAAAAAGAAAAAAACACACCTCACATCCCACACACTTCACCGAACTCCAGTTTGCGAATGCACGTCGTATAGTGCCCAGGTCAACAACATGTAGCAATATAATAATATTATATATTCCTTCTTTGACAATATATTTTTGTCAAACTATACCAACGTAATATATTATTTAATATAGGTATCTATCTAATAATAGTAATAAACGCATATTATTATTGTTATTGATTTGAGAGTTTTCATTTATATAATATTATCTATAATATTGTATTAGACTTAAAATTATTCCTACAGAATTACGATACGTATTACAAATTATATCGGAATATATTTTATAAGCCATAATGGACTACAACAATATTGAAACATAATAATAATATTATTRCTTGCGGCCATTTGGAATTGACGATTTTTCAAGAACCTATATTCTATGCATAGGTCAGCATGATATAGAAATATGTTCCATAATACCAGGAGGCAGAATTTCATTGTAAAAAAATGATACTGCACATATTTTCTTTTTTCTTACACTCATCTATTCTGTATAAATTATTAGTGAATATTTTACATATTATAAATGTTTAACAATATTTAACATACCAGCTTATCGTTTAAAAATTAAAAGCAACCGAATCACCCGATAAAAAGTATGATTTTAACTGTATGGAAATATTATAGTGTACAGTGAAACTTCTATATAACGAACTTCCATTTACTGAAATCTTCTGTTGAACCAATAATTTTTGAGAACCATGWCCTCCATTCTGAATCATGCGGAAATTATCTTTAATGAATTTCTCTATATTACGAATTTTGTATTTATCAATAAATCATAATAAATGTTAGATGTTATATTGTTATAGTATGGTACTATGGTTTTAATATTAACAACAAATCGTCATACGATTTGAATGGAATCAAGTGTCTATTCCTAGAAATAATATGAAGAATAATTTTACAAAACGATACTATAAGTATTCTTTGTGTGTACTGTGCAGATATAATTTTTGTAGGTAAACGGCATTTGTTTATAAATAATAACATACACATCCCCCCAAAAAAAGCGTAACGAATTAAATAAAAATAGCTAATAGTTCTCATTTAAACGGAAATCGATCTGTGTGGGCGTTCCCGTTTCATTTTGGTAGAACGTCGAGTATAGACTTGTGCACGCATGTCGGTGGATAATCAAACTAGTACCATAAAAATAACTAAAAATAATTTTTTTTTACGTAAAACGAGATAATATTACCTATGCATCTGGTGATATTTCCCACAATGTCATATGACCTTGTACTTCATAACACTGGCAGGGAATGAATAATGAAGGATTTCTTTAGGAATTTATTTGGTGGGTTATTTAATAGCTGTATGATTAGTGATAATTGATAAATGATAATACATGACGAATCGATTAAAAACAAAATAAATACCGAACTTACGAGTTGTTCGAGTTGTTACGATTRTACGACGATGGTCACCGGAATAATTAGATTGTAAACGGCTTTAGAAAAACCGGAGAAGTCACTTTGCTACTAGGTTTCTAGCACTGAAAGAGAAGGTTACCACTGTGATGGATTTGTTAAATTTAAGAAAAATGATTAATCATTAACTATAGGTACGAAAAACGATTACGAGTGGAAACCGTGTGTCAGTCTATATTTGTATGATATAATATATTATATTATATTTGTTGTTATTCGGAATTTCGTTTTCTATTACTAATCAGTAATTTGTTATGTTGAACATATTTTATCCAAAACCTTCACAATTTATTATTATCATAGAACAATTATTAGAATATTGTGTATCATAAACCTATTATTGATATTAATTATAATACAATTATACAGACGTTTTGAGTAGAAATAATAAACATGAAAATAATCTAAATATTTTTAAATGTTATCGTTTATTATAGAAAACGATTGATTAGTAATAATGGATTTTATCTACTACGATCAAAATTGTTTGAATCAAACAGAAAAAAAAATCAAAACAAATAACAACAATTATTAGAGAAGATATTTATAGAAAAAATGTTTGAATAAAAAACAATTCTAAAGACTTATAAACACATTGTGAATGGTGAAGAATAAACTTTAAAAAAATGTGGTATAACAAGTTTCGCTTTTCAAATATTTCAAATATCTATAAATATCTAAAAAAAAAAACCCAAAAATATTGAAAATATGTCTAAAATACATTCAAAAAAAAGCCATGACGTAATTAAAAACTGCTGTAAAAATTATTATTCTCGTTTTTTGTCATTATTTTTAGTTTCATCCGATTATTTTGAAAGGTTAGTACTGGGAATTTTCCATAATTTTAATACAGTTTTGGTTCTAATTTTGTATTAGAAAACACTCATAAAAATTAAGATCATCGCATTTTTATTGGTCCAGAAGGCGACAGTTAACACCAATAATAAATTTACATCATAAAAACAAATAATTGTCAACCCAATAGATATATTCTTCGCTCTTTGAAACCATAAAAAATACCTAACAATATATTAAAAAATAAAAAATAAATTAAATAAAAAACCTACATCATTGTTAAATCAAAACATTCATCGCTCCGCTCAGTATATAAAAAGTTATAATATAATAATTTATTAATTTAGATATAATAGTCATGACAAATATAACATAAAAGCATAACCTGCATAGGTACATAACAAATAGGTATCAGTGCAATGACCAAGTAGCTATAATTCTTTTCGAATGTGATGTCATATTTTGATAATGAAGAAGTCAACCAATGTTTATGTGATACATATTGGCTTTATTATTTCGCCAATTTAACCTAAAAGAATTCGTCCGATTAAATGTATTATCCGTAAGAACAACAGGATAACTCTAGAGCTGACATGTTCTTGTGCTGAATTTAGTTAACAATGATCATGTTGTTTATACACTTTTTTGGAGTATTTGTATCAATGTATCACACATGCTTCATATGAAGATAACTTACTACTGCTGTTCCAGTAAAATTATATTATTTTTAACAAATGACGATTTGTTATTTTAAAAACTTATAATATTTCTCAACTTAACTACCTATACTATACCTATACCTATACCCTTAACATATCATCTTATATTATTATTGTACAATTGTCCATATTTTATATTCATGTTATTGTAATAGTTATGACAGATTATAAAAATAATTAAATAATTCTTGATGCCGRTTTGGGAAACAACCATAATATAATTTTAGTATAAAATATTTAAATATTTAAACACGAAAAAAGTACGAATTAAAAATTATTTTTAAGGTTTTTTCTAATATTAAATTAACTTTAAAGTATCCACATGAGTAACAATTTCTTAAGTCCAAATAAACTTTCTATATTAGCAGATTGTTTTAATTATAAAATTTATAATTCTTGTGAAAACGGAGCTGCCATGTTATTACACTTACATCTTCAGTAATGAAGTGTTAATATTTTACAAACATTTTCTGTACAGTTAAAAAAATATATAAGGACAAATTATATTTTAAAATTTATTGAATTAGAATATTTAAATACTTGTAAATTTAATACAATATTGATAATTATAATGAATTAGTCTAATTGTATCCACAGCATTATAAATAATTATAATATTTAATTTGATTTGTTGGACATGTACAAAATATGTTAGTATGTTAGTACTGTTAGTAGTAGCTAGACTAATGAATCTGGCAAATAAAACAATCGAGTTGAAACATAAAAGTATAACTTTAATATCTTAAAATATTTGTGGATTAAATTTAAAAAAATAACTAATTGTTTTCGAGTCCATAAAAAATTAGTTTTGATGAACACATAATTATGTTATTATGAACTTGTATAATATGGAAAAACATAAAATTATATTGGTCCCAAGCATACAAATTATTGGCGAATAATGGTGGTAAACGATATGGTATTATTTTTTATGTATCTCTGCAGTACTTTTCATTTTGTTTTTAACGCTTCCAAAAAATCCTTGACCACTGGACGACAGAAGCAAACAAATTACGTACACTGAAGCACACTTGTGACACCACTATACTTGAAGTATCTCAACTGTTATATTATATAGTATACCTATTTTGTGGCGGCGCTTTTCCGCGGGCATAATCGATTCATTTCGCTTCAACTAACATATCATATTCTGTATACATCGTACAAGCTGTATACAGATAGCTTTTAGAAACAGGGTGGAAAAAGCTCGCGTATTTCACCGATTGTGATTAGTAAATCCTATCAGTAAGACCTAGCTTTTATGGCAATATATATGTATRCATGATGGCTCGTGTGTGTATTTGTGTATACAAAGCGATTGGGCTTTTACTGTGACATAATATTATAATATTATGTATACAAATCCGATAGGATCGTAGACGTCGTATACTACAGCAGAATGATTATTAGGGGTGAGTACGAGGACATGGTGGATGAAGGTTGTGTGACGAAAATAAAACGTATACATATTACATCATACGAGTATTATAATTATTTATAGCGGAGGGATCGTGTTTGGAACCAGATAACTATACTCCCTCCCTTAATCCCTGGGCGTCACTAGAATTTAAAACAAATAAACAAATTTATACTTGTTAAGAATTTAAAAAAACCTTTTTTATTCAATTCTACGTTTTAAAATACAAAATGAGTACTAAAAAAACTACCCACGTATAAACTTAATGTTAAACTCTGCGGGCATTTGTCTGTTGACTTATTATTTTGTTTCCACTCAATTTAAAATACGTATTTTAACCGTCGTAAAATAAAAATATTACCTACTTAAAATACACARTAAAAATCTGGCAACACGAGAATTCCGGTCCTAAAAGAGTTATTTTGGGCTAATAAGAATTTAAAATATTTTTTTCTAAATGCGTTGATGTCTGTATTTAAAACTATTATGTATTTGATTAGCATTTAAATAATACTTATTTAAAATAAGCTTGAAATCAATAATTTAAAAAAATAGGTGCATACAATTCRCAATATAATAACAGTTTTGAACAAATATGTTTGTACACATATTACTGCGTACTGTGTTGTTTAAAATAGTTTTTTTGCCGTTTTCCTATAGAGATCGATGAACCGACTTCATATTCTTATCTATTATTATACTATTACCGTGTGTCAAATAACAAATATGTTAAAATKTTGTCGATGGCATTATTTGTGACGCACTTACCGATATAGGACTGTGGTCCGCTGCCGTGTGGCATGTACGCAGATGACAGTTGTCTTGGAAATCGGTGTGGCTGGAACTTATCTGGCTCGGGAAAGTATTCGGCGTGGTGGTGCAGCGCGTGTACCGGCACCACGATCAATGAGTCCGGTTCGATGGTGACTCGGCCACCGGTGCCTGGCACAACGTACGGTTTGGTGGTCACGCGGCGCACAACACTCGCCAGCGGGTACTTACGCAACGTTTCTGCGGACAGAACGAAAAAAGTTTTAAATATTACTAAACAGAGTCTAAAAAATGTTAGACWTTAAAATAGTATTTATTTCCACGGCTTAAGCTACGTTTACACGATGATGGTTGAAAGCGATAGTTGGTATCGCGAGAGTATGCGGTTATTATTTCGTGTGGCGTCTATGAGCAACATCAAAAAACACTTAGAATATTAAAAGACATAACATGTATAAAWTTGAAATTGAAAATTAAAAGATGGTCAACAGTGGTAAAACTMAAAAATAAATAAGCACATAAAACATAAAATAGATAAGAGGTTCTCCATTTGGTCAATGTAAGGGTCATGCTATAGCTTCACATCCAGGYTCTTCATCCATTCCACCTCTTCTTCCTTCCCACAGTGGATATATTATTCTATGGTGCTTTTAAATGCACGAATTGGACATTCAGTGGTGATGTGATTGATCGTCTGGGATTTATAGCCACAGCCACACGTTTCATTGTCACGCAGTCCCCATTTATACAATATCACGTGACCACTCCTACCATGACCAGTTATGATACGGTTTAGTGTTACCAAAGTATTTCTTTCGTGGTCAAATCCCGGTTGTTTGATAGTTGGGTTAATCATCAGTTTTTGGTTAACTGGATTTTCTATTGTCCAATAGTTTTCCCATTTTGAACTTATATTGAAATTTTCTTTGGTAATATCCATTGCTGTTTTTCATAGTGGTTTACGCAATTTGAGTCGTTGAACATTTTCTAATGCACTCGGGTCCRTGTGTATGGGAAGAAAGCGGTTTACTTTTTCCATTCTTSMGCTACTAAATGTTATCTTCGTAACTTTGGTGGAGCAATGTTACCAAGCACTAGTAGCCATTTCAGTAGTGTGGGCTTTGTCAACTCACCAATTTTATTGTGCAAATTGCCGCATTAAGGTGTTTGTCTACGTTCTTTGTGTGCACGCTGTTAAGCCAGACAGGGTCACAATACTCAGCTGTAGAATACACTAATGATAGCGTAGTGCTTATACGTAACGCATTTGTATCAGCTCCCCCATGTTGAGCTGGYTAGCTTTGGAATTATGCTCTGACGAGTCTTAACTTTTGCTGACAGTCTGGYTAGGTGTTCTCTATAAGTGAGTGTTCTATCTAAAACCACTCCTAGGTATTTTCAATTTTGGGTGTTTAGTATTTCGTACTTCCTGACCACTAAAGCTTATATTCATTTATTGACAAGCTTTTTTGTTATTCAAATGAAACAKTGTTATTTCCGTTTTTGTTGGGTTAGGCTTTAGTCTCCACTATTTAAAATATGAATCTAATTTACTAAGGTCGTTGGTTAGGAGCTCTTCTAGTCCCTCGAAACTGGAACTCTGACTAGCCAGGGTGATCTCATCCGCATTCTCTGCAAAATTAAATTTGTCCATCGCTTYAGTTTTTAGCTTTAAGGCTCATAGTGATGACACTATCGTAAGTGTTTACACGCTATCAAGCGTTTTCACTACTATCGCACTATCACAGCAGTAAAGCAAGTTGTTTTTGAAACTATCATCGTGTAAAGGTAGCTTTGGTGTCAGATTTGTGTAAATAAACTCAAATTTCTTGCCTACTTAAAATAATAATAATAATTCAATAAGGGCGACCATTTCAGGTGTAAAATGATTATTCATTAGGTCTGTTACCGTACCGTTTACATCAACCATCAAAAATACAATATTTGTAAAAAAAAAACGGTCTATATAAGTTGTAGTTTTTTTGATTTGGGTCTGGTTCGACTTTAGAAATTAAATAAGCTTCTAGAAACTTGGTTCAAACGAAAGGATTAATACAATTAACATAATACACAACATAATTTTATAAGAAGGCACATGCAATTTAATTACATTTACGAATGGTTAATTAATTCTTCCTTTAAAGTGCATACTGAAATACCACAACAAATACACTGTTTCCTAACTTACAGTACAACTATTAGATCTATYTTCTGTCAGGAAATCCATAAAATAATTCTAGTTGTTGGTGGGAAATATTGTACTATAAACGGTATTTTTCAGTTTAAAAGTTAATTGTATTGGAATCATTGGGTTTTTAAAAAAAAATAATCAACTTTAGTAAACCAGTCATCAAGTGTATTATATTCATTTAGTGACTGGAAATAATTTTTAATAAAAGCCAAATCAATTATCCTCAATTTAAAAAAATATTTAACAGAGCCTAATGGAATCTAATATATTTAACATTCCTTTAAACATCAAAGAGTGGCCCCTGATCAGAGACGGGCAAGTCACTCGTTTAGTAGTTGTAACTGCAGGTTACARGTTACACTTAAGTTGTGTATCTAGTTACAAGTTGCTTTTGGAAATTTGAAACTTGTTATAAAATTACTTTAGGATAGGACTTAAATTAACTTTTTTACATTTAAAGTTAGTAGTTACAAATCGTTTGATAATACATATATGTTAAATGAAAGATAAAAAAAAAGCGGATAAATCGTGGATGTCGCTCTGCTGTACAGTAGGTTACAAGTGGGTTACTGTAATGGATGGAATTAAATTTGAATACAATGTATTATATCATTGTATACGAAAAACGATTCTGAGCGAAGATGGTTTATCTATCTAGGATATATTATAGATTATTAAAAGTTATCAAATCTTGGATTTAAAAAGAACAATTTTTATGAATTTCTATAACTTAAAATAATTTGCGAATTTTCATGATTTTTATGTATGTTGTCAAAATTTGAATTTTAAATGCTTATAAAAAAAGCATTTTTTTTTTAACTGCTATTGTAACAATATGTTATGAGCCTTGTATTACATTTTTAAGCTTTTATACCCAACAAATAAATTTTTATCGATATTAATTTAAAAAATACTAATTATGATCGAAAATTGCATATGCCTATAAATAGTTCAACTTAAGTCGAAATTTTTTGAAAATTGTATGGTGGATAGAATATACTTATAATATAAACATTCGGTGAAAATTGCATGTATCTATGGTCATTTGTTTTAAAGTTACATCAAAAACCAAAATCGATTTTGTCTATGAAAATTGATTGTGCGTAAAATTTCCCGTTTTTCCTTTTTTAGTTTGTTTATCCCGATTATTTAGAAAGATATTTAAGATTTTTTACTTTTGACCCCCCAAAGTACCAATTAGATTCACTTTCTGATCAAACGAAGTACTAGAGTCGAAGTACTTTTATTGCCATAAACGTGATGACAGACGTAAAAAAAAAAATACAAAAAACACACATCGTTGTAAAATCAATATGTACATTACTCGTTCTGCTCAGAATACAAAATAATGACTAAATAATTATTGAATTTATTATACATTAATAAAAATGCACTAATATAAAGTAGATACATTAAACAAACTAACCTATATTAGTTCATTTTTCATGTTCAATTTTGTAATTGAATATTAATATTTTAAATACCATATTATTTACAACTTCTTAATTTGTTTAAATTAATATTTGATGCTTACAGAAATATTTACAATAACCATTATATTAATATTGCCCATATATTATTTATATTATTTGAACATAAGTATTTTGTATAAAAATGAGTTTAATTTACCGTTCATAGCCTATTTAATAGGCAATTTATTATGTATAAAATATCCAATTTTACACTAGAAATATAATAACAATATTTAGTAAAAAATTTTTTTAAGAATTATTTTGTTTTTATACAACTACAATTAAAATGTATGACTATGATATAGGGTCGATTAGATTAGGAATACCTACATTTATCGGATATTTAGATTTTCTAACAATATTATTAAAGCATTGATTGTAGTTTTTGTGGAGACCGATTCCAATCGAGGTAGGTAATGAAAATATTAAATATTAGAATAACATAKAGTGGAGGTCCCTGAATGTTTCCTGAATAGTCTAAACCTCGTGACGGGTATGTCGGAATGTGTGAAATTCAAAGTCACATTCATTTAGAAAATATGTTGAGATATTCCTGCAATCGACTGTTTCTTTAGGGTARMCMWTTYMAAWWAAWTKRAAAAAAAACATTATTTCTCGTAATATGGGGCATAATATTTTAATACCTACCTATATAATGACTTACATTCTTGACATTCCTACACCGATGATGACGGGACAGATTAAACAAAATTGAATAACATTAGGTAATACTAGAACTAGATATTTTGAAAATTGTCGAGGAAGGTAGAATTATAATTCAATCACTTACATAGTTACATTTTCAGATTCATAATTTATATTATGTATACCGAGAGTAACGATGAATTGAAATACTTATAATAATATTGTAAAAATGTTGTGTCTTAATTGAATAATCTATGAGCCATAGCATAGCCACCCCTGCTWTATAGATGAATCTAGGTCGAGTGTTAGAAAGTCATGTGTCATAAGGTCAGATATCATAATATTAARTGTCATAAAAATCATATATTATAAAAGTTATTTATCATAAAAATCAATTGTTATAAAAAATCAAAAAAGTTTTTGTTGAAACACAGGGAAAATATAATTATTGTAAAAATGCTTAAAATTTTTAATTTGAGAAATGCTGTTATATCATACCCAGGCGGGTTGTGTGTTAATCTTATACATATATTTTGTAATCTGATATTATGGTCATTAATTTTTTTTATAGAAATGGATGTTGAGTTTTTTTATTAAACATGTTCTACGCTAACCTCAGTTTCTTTCTACTCTTTTTGTATTCCACGGATACATTTGTATAGACAAAAATAATTTAATATGTTATACAATATAGGCAATTAAACTTAATTGGTAAATAATACAATTTACCAGGGTGAGATGTTAGAATTCGTTGAATTTTATTATGCCACCCCTCTGCAGAGTTGGACGTTCTTGGAGTACCGGTTAATGTCCTTGATGAAACTGACCACATTTCAGGAGGGAAAATAGGTTCATGTATTTTTGGTGTTCTATTATTGCGATGCCGCATTCTAATTTCACCGCTAATATAGTTCTCATCAAAATATGATACA